CATTTGGAAAAAAGGAAGAAGTGAGAAGATAGGATGTCCTGTGACCAGTCTTTCGGTGGTTCTCCGCTACAGGCTGCGGTGAAATTTTGCCAACTTTATAGGTTTATGCTGGGTCATTTACCCAGGCCCCTGATAGAGTTAATGGAGGCTGTAATTTGCAGTTTACATCATACTTTCTCTCTCCACTGGCGGTGTCAGAAATCCAGGAAAATGAACCAGGGCTCCCAAATGCCTGAAGTTGTGTAGGTTAAATGCTTGTTTGCAGAGGCTGTAACTAACTGCAGTGGTTATTTCCTACTTCATGAAGCACTTTCAGAGGACTTTCTAAGTTTCATAACTGGCACTTTGGTTTTCAGTTGGCTAAGTAAAAGAACATCCTATTACAATATCTGTGTTCATGCAACAGACACACACGTTTACAAGCCAAGACAGAAAAGGTCTGTTTGCAAATGTTTGCACTTTCTCCTTGGTGTACCATCGTACAGCAAACGAGATCACTTCGAGTCAGAACTTACGTTGTCCGGCTCTTCTGGGTCTTACTTCACAAGCAATTGCAGGTCATAACTGCAGGCAATTCCCTGTTTTGGTATTCGCTTACCTTTTATTGCCATGCAAGTTTTATTCTACTTCTTAATCAAGGAAGATCCTTTTGGTATCCTTTCCTACAGCTCTGAATCTGGTGCCCTGCATTTATACTTAATGCTGTCATTTATAGCTAAGGAGTCAGATTCAGTGCCCTTACGGATTTCCTGAGGGGACTAAGAGTGCACAAGGAGATAGTTGAGTGGAGATCCCTAATAGTTAGTTGGCTGCACTACTCCATCTTCCTGCTGCCTTAAGTTAACTTTTGCCCGCAGTGTACCAAAGCCGTGCTCCAGCATCCTTCTCCCTTCTTGATGAATGTAGGAAACCTGAGAAAATTTTTGTTTTCAGTTATCAGTGTAACTTTGGTACCTGGACCCAGGGGTGTCTGAGCAAGGGATTGCGTATGTGACAAAGTAGTCCCTCATCTGAACAGCTCGGTTATCAGCAGACAGAGTAAATGCTGTTTGAACCCTTTCTCTTTAGTACTATTGCTTTTTATTCCTTGTGTTTTATTTAGTAATGATTTATTCTGATTATACAGGTTACCCTTTCCCCACTGCTCCTCCTGTGGATCCATTTGCAAAAATCAGAGTGGATGATTGTGGAAAAACCAAGGGATGCTTCAGGTCAGTCTGAGATAAGAGTGCAGATACGTTTATGTTTGCAAATGCTGACTGATTGCACTGGAAACTTTGGTAAATGTTCCATATTAATTGTAACAAATGTTTATTATTTAAGAACCTACTTTGTAGTTATGGACTGTATTATTTGAGGAAACTAGATTATTTAAGGATATATGTCATAGTTATGGACCTACAGTTATTTCATGTTTCTTGTATTTTTCATGTTTCTTGTATTTTCATGAAGCACGCACTTACTTACAAAACCAGGGCTAGGAAGGTCAACAGAGGAATACTGTGTGTAATTAATTGCTTGCTGTACTGTTCAAATACTATACATTCTTACACTAAAACAATAATAATTGCAAACACTTAATTAATGGTACTCTGTGTATAGCATAATATAGTACGTTTTACTGCCATTATACCAAAATGAATTCTCTTAGTTTTCTTCTTGCAGAAATGTAATTAAATTCCATAGCAGGAAATTGTGACGAAAGGTTACATATATTTCCAATTCCATTTAGGTATGGTAAACCTGGATGCAATGCAGAGACTTGTGATTACTTTCTAAGTTACCGTAGAATAGGAGCCGATGTGGAATTTGAGTTGAGCGCTGATACTGATGGCTGGGTGGCGGTGGGATTTTCCTCAGACAAGAAAATGGTAAGACATGTACAGTTCTTTGCGTTAACAGTGTGCATAGTTTTACATGCCAAGCTATAAATGGTTTATATTTGATCTATCAGAAACAGAGCATATAAGGAAAAACTGACTTGTTGAAAATGAAGCACCGTTTGGTAGCTGGCCTGGGAGCAGAAACCAGGTCTGCTGCCTCCCAGAAAACTGCCTCATCCTTCCTAATGTGTCCTTTCCCTTCTTCTCTGAGAATTAACAACCGTGTTTTGGTTCAGCTCTGCATGTCTGAATGTTACTTGCTTTTTGGCTTAGAAAAGTCCTCAGGGATAAGCCAATTCAAATGGAAATGTCCTGTCGTGCTTTATGTCAGTGTTACTTGGACAAAATCCACATCAGAAACTCAATAGCAAATAATTTTACTCTTCAGTAAATCAGCTGACTTTCAGCGATATAAATATGGCTTTCACCATTAAACTTTGGAAATCTTTTTGTTTCTTTCCTACCTGTGTGTTATTCCAGGGAGGCCACAAATGTGTGACAAAATGACTCCCGTTAATTTAAACGTACATGCTCTAGAAAGCAGTCTTGTTAAAATTTCTTCTTCTGTCTCTCCTGGATTTTATTTGGTTTGGTTTTATGCTTATTCCTGCGCTTACTTTTTCATTCAAAAGCTTCAATTTTCATTGTGTTTCAATGAGCGAAACAGGAGCATGTACCGCGAACTTTAAAAAACTTAAGCAGCAGATGACTTATGCAAAGATGTTTTGTCTGTGATCCTCCATAAAATGTTTAGGACTAAAATGCAGTCCATAATGGTGTTTGTATACAGAGTATATAAAACAATACTGAGCCTCTGTACATCCTAAATCACAAGTCAGAGGACTGTTTCTTGTACAGTTGTAAGCAGTAGTCTGAAAAAAATACAGAATTTAGACATCCTGGGCTAAGACCAACAAAAACGAATGGGAAGACTCGTGCTGACTTAACATTTTTATCAGACCCCAAATGAGAAATAGAAAAAAAAAAGTGAGGGCAACTGCTTTTCGGTCATTGCTATATATGGTTTAATACGACTCTGTAAATAAGCACAATAAAGATGGAAGTCTTTTGTGTCACAAAGAACAGTTCACATCACAAAAAAGAGTTCATGTTTTTAATGTTGTGAGGAACAGTTTTACAGAAAAATTCTGGGAAGAGTTTAGATCCCTGGAAATGCAAGTACTCAGCAGGGTTTTCAAAGCAGCTCAGCATGTTTAAGTGTTTGATCCCAAGCAATCAGAGATCATGTTACCAGTTTGCAATTCTGATATACCTGCAGTAGATCCCAGGGTCCCACCACCTGCACCTCATCAGCCCCTTGGAAAGCCGGCGTTACCTTTCATCCCAGGCACGCCAAGCAGCGTGTTAGGTCTCAGCTTCTGGTAAGAAGAATAAAGTAAGTGTAAAGTGTAAAGTTCAAGCACCCTGTATATGTTCCCCAAGAGAAAACTATCATAGATCAGCACTTGAGTTGGTACTATCTCTTTGCTTCAGGGCCAGCAATTCAGGGTAAGTTGATTTCCAGGCTTCTGTAAAGTAAAAGGTTTTGCTTCCAAATTTGCTACATATGTGATCTAATGGCCATCAGTCAGCTGGGCTAAACCAGCTAGCATCTGTCTCTCTCTCTTGTTCCCCTGCTGACTTCATCCTTTTTCATAACTTCTAGGATGTTTTGGTGTCCTGGGATACAGAGGCTGTAATGGTAAAATGGCTCTGGGTCAAAACAGCTTGGCTGAGAGAAGTGGGCTGTGCCTTGGAGGCCCTAATCAAATTGGTGTGGCCTGGATAGCTACAGAAGTTCAGAAAAAAATCCCTATTTTGTGTCATCAATAGGTTTTTTTAAAAGTCCTATGACCTATTTCTTTGTCTCAAATAACACTACACTTTTCTACTTGCACGCTTTTGTGCCTAGGTAGGATTTTGTAATGTTGTTCTATTAACTGAAATTCAGAATGCTTTTTTCTTTCCTTTTTATTGTTTTTAATGTGAAAACAGCTTTATTTTTGCCTCTCTGTACTTAAGAATGAGGGATTTGTGCTCAGATGTATGAAAATTAAACTCGGAAAATAAGTTATGGGGAGCAAGGAGAGGCTCAAGACAGAAGCTGGAAAGGTTGCCTGCAGCAGCACCGAGATGCAGAAACTGTTCAAGCACGTGTTTTACCTAGTTGTCCCCTTTTTCCCTCGCTTTTGGCACATCTTTTACAAATCCACATAGCAATATTCCCAGAGAGCTGAACTGCACCCTTTTTCTCTCCTTTTCCTGTACCAAAGGCCTGAGAGATGATCATGCTAGCAAGCATCATGTCTATCATCAGCATGACATATCAGAAAGATTAGTATTGGAGAAGTAGGACCTGTATTTAATATGGCGCCGATACCTGTGGCACTGATGTTCGGTAAAATGCCATTCATCCAGCTTGCACAGTGTGTTAATGATTCCAGATACTAAGGCTTCTGTGAGATAGTACTCCTAAAATTAGTGCTGATCCTCGAGTGATGCAGTGCTCTACCACTTTGGCAGTGGCCTTGCATAGCTCTCCTAGCAACTGGTTGAATATTTGTATGAATGACCTCTACAAACAATTGTCACTCACTTCCTTCTGTCCGTTGTTTTTTTACTTGATTATAATGCTCGGTGGCTGTTTATACTATGTGAAGAAGCACGTATGGATTACTTTCTTCTTGTACCTTACAGTGTTCTGTATTCCATTACTGCATGCTGAACATTTCTCATTTTCTCTTAAGAGATGTAAGAAGTGATGTTCCCTTAAGTGAACATGAGAAGAGATTAGAAAAAACACACTGGAATTTATGCTATTATTTGTCCAGATTTAGTAGATTCATCTCCTCTATTTTACCAAATTTTATTGGATTTCTGTTCATGATTTGATGCAGTGGATTTTGCACACATCAAGGATCCAAGACCACCAGTTTTTATGAAGCAGGATCCCAGAACTCTACAAATTACAAAAGAAAGTATCTGTCCACTGATCAATTAATTGTGTCATGTCAGAGTGATATCCTGTCTTACAAATATGTTACATATGTTAGGTAAAATAACTCTTAAAAGTATTCAAAAGAGAATTTGGAGATAGTAAGGGTAAGTAAATATTACTGTCCACTTTCTGCTTTTCAGTCTGATTGAAGACACATGGTTAGGGGAAGAAATATTTGTGTATATGTAAGTTAGAAAGAAAGAATGAGAGCCCCAGGTCTTGATTAGTTTTTAATGATTAAAATTATATACATAAATGAGGAAATGCTTTGTGACACACTTGTTTTCCTTCTACCAAAATGATTTTACCATGTAGGGAGGAGATGATGTCATGGCTTGTGTTCATGATGATAACGGAAGAGTCCGGATACAGCATTTCTATAATGTCGGTCAGTGGGCTAAAGAAATCCAGAGAAATCCTGCTAGAGATGAAGAAGGGGTTTTTGAAAACAATCGTGTAACATGTCGATTCAAGCGCCCTGTGTATGTTCCCCGAGAGGAAACCATAGTAGACCTGCACTTGAGCTGGTACTATCTGTTTGCTTGGGGGCCAGCAATTCAGGGTAAGTTGATTTCCAGGCTTCTGACAGAACTGGGGCACCAAAATTGATAAATGGCTTTTAATTACAGTATTCTTACTAGACCCCTTTTTTAAAATGGACTAAAATTCTGGCAGCATGAGGCTTAAAACAGATAAAAAGGAAGACAAAATAAGTAATAGTCCTACCTGTCATGTTTTCTTTGTTATGTAGTTATTATCCCCACTCCCCAAAGATAAATTTAGGTAAGGATAATTCATAACTAGATGTTTAATTTAAATTTAAATCATTTAAGAAACTTAATTTCAGAAAGCGGAGCAATGACCCTCCTCACTGACAATGTAATATTGCATGCTCCTGTAGGTTTGGAAGTTACTTGTCTTTCTACCTCTTTCTTTGGTAGAGTTTTAGAGAACGTGCATCTGATGTTATTTCTTTCTGCCCTTACCTACTAAAGGTTCTATAACTCGTCATGATATAGACTCACCACCTGTATCAGAGCGTGTTGTCAGTATTTACAAGTATGAAGATATCTTCATGCCATCAGCTGCCTATCAGACCTTCTCTTCTCCATTCTGCTTGCTCCTCATTGTTGCACTGACCTTCTATTTATTGATGGGAACCCCATGACCGATGGAAAATAGCAAGAGTTTGTCAGTGGAAGTTTCTCAGGATGGATGGCTAAATGGATGGACAATGAATTTTTCTATTGGAATTTATATCACACCACCATCATCATCTAGCTGCTTTTGAACATAGTTAGCTTCTCAGAAGAATGAAATAACCACCTCCTTTGAGCGGCAGAGTGGTGACAAATCATTTAAGAATAATCAGCAAACACATAGGAGAATATTTTCAGTGTTGTGACTACTTGCTTAAAGAAAAAGAGACTTTTGTAAAATCAATGTGTGTGTATGTGTTTTGGAGGGGTGTTCTGTATGTGTGTTTAGGCGAATTTACTGATGGACATCTTATCAAATAACAAAATTGCCTTCCAAATTGCTCCCAAAAAGCAAATTTGGGAAAACATTATAATGCTGTTTGGTACTTCTCGAACAGACAGCACAACTGCAAGTGAAGTTTCTGAACTTAAGATCCGGATACGGACACAGCAGTATAAAATCTGCCCTTCAGTAATGGACAGTTCTCCCAAATTTTTTTCATATTTATCAAGGTTTACTCGCTCTGGTATTTTTAAGAACTAAACTTGCATAATCAAGAATTAACATGATTTTTTTTTTTTAGTGGAAAAGAGGTGATGAATATCTTTATAACAATAGTGTTTCAACAGATTTATTGAAAAAAAATGGCTACTTCTTTTATGAGATACAGAATTATTTAAACAAGGGAAAGGGAGAATACAGTGATGTAAATTCTCCATACATAGGAAAAACATACAGAATATAGAAGTTCCCAAAAAGCCATAGGACATCCTCCCAATAGATTAAATCAATTTTTCTCTTTTTATGAAAAAACAGTAGTTTTGCTGACATGTAAATACGTTTTTAAGCAGTTGTGTAGTAATATGACGTACTCTGTTTTCTGTGTTGTATGCCTGTATATCCTGTTCACATGACAGATGAATATGGGCAGCTGGTTTTAACTTACAAAGAACTGGAAATGTAATTGAGATTATTCGTAAGGAAAGATAGAGATTAATAAGAAAAGCAGTGTCTTTAGTTTCATCAAACCATTGCTAAAATGTAGTTACCATGGAAAAAGATGACCTAAAGAGGAAAATACATTAGATTTTTTTTATCATCAATAAATATTACAAAGATGGATGCTAAATATTGCAGAAATAGAAAGTGTCCAAATGTATTTATGATCCACAGAAAATGATGAAAATCTTTGAGTTCTTGTGGAGAATTTCTGTTCTTCACATAATAGGAAGTGTATGACATGTCTATGTGTAGCAGTCAAAAGTGCTTAGATAAGGTTGCTCATTCACTTCTCAAATTGCATTAAAATTCTATTTAAATGGAATTAAAATCTAAATTGTGCCAAAGTTCTATCTAATGTGGCATGCTCGAGGACTCTAACATAAGATCTGGTAAAGCATGTGATGGACTTCATTTCTATTCTCATTGCTGCACAGAGTGTAAAAAGATTAACTAGCTTTGCTGGGTTTGCATCATTATTCACAGCCTGAAGTTTGTAGACTAATTTTTTTAGGCTCAGCATTCTTCAAACCTATGGTTAAAGTGTATGATTAAGATAAATTAATTTTCAATCTATCACCATCACAAACACTTTATTTCAAAAGAAAGATTGCTTAGTCATACATGTTTTCATTGATGTCTTCGAGATCTGTTCCCTTAAAATTACTGGAGTAGAGTTCGGGAGGGGGAAGAATTCAGAATGAAGTGAACTTTAAAAGTGCATGTAGTAGCTTTGTTTAGTATAAATTACTTCTCTCAAGTTGGATAACCTACTCATCACATGATGAAATATATAGAGGAGACCACATAATAAAGGACTGCTTTTGTCTACAATGGCTGTAAAATTTAACCTTAAGAGTGGATGAAGCAGAGAGCTGAAGCCTGGATAATGAGTTTTATATTCAGCAACCAAGTGAAGAAATCATTAGGGCAAATTCTTTCTCCTCTGTGCTAACTTGCAGGCAGTGGAGGTTGGGCAGTTCCTTCTCATAGCTCATAGCTGTTTGACGTGACCTCGGGGTTGCTTTAGTTTATGGCCTTGTATTTACTGTTTTAGTTTTGAGCATTTATCTGATTACCTACTAAAGGGCTAATGCTAATCTAATAACTGAAAGGTACTGAAGTAGGCTAGGAACCCATTTTGGCTCCTCTTTTTTCTTTAGCAGAGTGCTGGATTTAGGATAAGCCTGGCTGGACCCGAGCACAGAGGTATGTTAAAGATGTAACCGAGGTAAATGTGTGACACCCACAGAGCTGCTTTCCACTTGCGTGGAGCGAGATGTGTTTAAAATTCAGACTCTAAAACAACAGCAAATGCTTAAGGATGTGTCTGCTGCAGCAAAGTCTAAACTGCTTCAGTCTTCAGCTGTACCCATGTTCTCAATTAGGGTAAAAATTACATTTTTTTTCCTGTTTTTATGTTACTTATAAAAGTGTGTTGTCTGGTGGTTTTGTCATCGTGTTTTTCTCTTCTTAAAGTATTAGCAGAAATGTGTACTTCTATAAAAAACTTTCACCCAAGCTTCAAAGTACTTAATTAGCACTAATTAAGTATTTCTAATCAAATGGGGTGCAATAAAAATCCATAATGAGCAGCAGAACAATCTATTCTTTGGCATTTCAAGTGATGGTTGAGTTTAACTGTGTTGTTACTCACTAGTGAACAGTTCCAGAATTTTGCATACTACTTCCCAGATAATAGTAAAGCTGTAATTCCTGCTCTAAACACTTTGCAGGTAGCAGAGGTAAAGTAGAAGAAAGTTTAAGGAGACCCGAAACCTGAAAATAACTGTGGCAGATTAGAAGCAGGAGTTGGGGTAAGTTTCTTTTAGTGAAAGAGTTTGTTGTCTTGTGGCATTTCATCTGAGAGTTGCTCTTCAGAGTGGGAAAAGCAGGAATAGGGGATTCAAGTTGACAAGGTGTGACTGCTTAGGAATGGGGAAGAAATAGGAGAACAAAAAGGCCATAAAAGGAACGAAAAGGCTTTAATTCAGTGGTACTTAACTTTGTATCATACTTGGTAAGGCTAAACATTTGAGTGGGCATAGTAACTTCTCATGGAAGGTATTTTAGGTTTTATGGGTTTTTTTCTTTTTAATATTGAAAAGCAGGATTGATCCCTGTTACACCAAGTTCCTACTTCCTACTTAAAAAAGTAATTTTTAAGCAATTAGGGCATTTTGGATAGATAGATTTTTTTTGATTTATTTTTATTTTGAGAATGACTTGCTGCAGGGTGACCTAATACAGAAGCATAGAGTTTAGAAAGTGCATGTTTAGAGTATGATCTCCTTTGGAAATTTAACTTTGATTATTAATTAGAAAGATAGTACTGGCAAAGACCATAAGGCATTAATTCATGTCCTTGAATATGTTCCTTCCATGCAGAACAAAATTAAGCTCATTGTTACATTAACCATATTTTCACCCTTTGCTCACTCTGCCTTACCATCTAGAGTGTTTGACACTTAAAGTTTGTAAGTTGGAAATCAGCTGCTTATATTTGTGACAGTGCCTATCGACCTTGTTTTTTGACTGTAGTGTCTGACTGGTACCCCACCACAAATAATAAGATAGGCCTTAAATTACATTACTAATAAGTAGGATAGGAAAGTGAGGAAAAATAAATGGCTCTCAGAAAGTATTTTTTTTTTCTTCACTGGAATCAAATAACTGTGTATTTTTATGTATAGGTGAGATACTCCCAGATGCTAATCGATTCTCCTCTCACCCCCCAAAAAAAGCCTAGCTTATTTGATAATGTCATTGGATACTGGATGATGCTTTCTTCAAAATTTCTTAAAATTTCCCATTATAAGGAAAATACTCTTGGTTCGAAAGAGAATATATTGATGAGAAAAGCTTGAAATTCCTCTGTGGGCTTCTTGTCCTTGATTGGTTTTGCAATACTTGGGTAGCAAGAAAATAAAACACTTGTGGTCTCCCTAATCTGACTAAGCCCCCAGACTGGATTAAAAGTTGTCAAAGCTGTGTTTGGCACTGACTTTTCCAGTTTTCAACACAGGGATGAGAGATTGACTGGAGCGTAGTGTACATCAGCAAACCTGGGCAGCGGTTTTGAAGCTTGGTTGGGGCACCACATCCTGGGTCTGAACCGAGAGCCCTGCAACTGCTCCCATGTACTCAATGGCTACTGTGAAATGGAAATAACAAACAGCGTGACCCATCCTACACCAAACCCCTTAAATACACGTATCTTCTTTTGCCAAATGGTGGATGGTGTTCTTACTGTGAGTGTTCATGTCTAGTCCTCCTCTGACAAGTACTGTGCTCCTTGTCACCAGCCTATGTCCTGTCCCCGTTTCCACAGATGCCTTATGCTATTTAGCGAGATGATCCTGAGCAGTCTTAGCCTAGCTGGGAAGAGGAGTTAGTGGGTAAGGAGGACTGACACACAGCTGTCTTCATGATTATCCAGGTCACAATTGGAAATCTGTGTCAGTGATTATATCCAGTTATCTGTAAGTAAATGATTTCTGTAAGTTTAAGGGAAGATGCAGGTCTGCCTATTTTTTCTCTGTCTTCTCCTTACTTTCCCATCCATCCAGTGTATCAGACATTTATACAGAAGCATATTATTCTCCTTTTAGAGAACAAACCCTCTGTCTGGTCTGATCTCTTCTGGATCTGCTGGAAGTTTGCATCTTGCCGTACTCTAGAGGCAGAATTATAGCTTATATAGACACTTCATAACTTTTATCAGCATTTAAATTGCATTTTGTGACTCCTTGGTTTCCTTGGTTTGACACACTGATGGGTAGCAGGTGTACTTTTTTCCCTCTCCCTTTTTTTAACATCTCCAAATAGTTTCCCTGAAGAAAAGTATTTGTTAATAGCTTTAGGAGAAGGAAACATGTATTTCACAGAATTACAAAAGGTCTAATACAACTTATTTTCAGATATAGCTATTGTCAGAGTGTTAGTATTTTATACAAAGCATAACTTCCTATAGAGCCTTAGTTTTATGATAGAAATGGAAACACATTTAAATATTACCGATGTTTCGGTGCTTCATGGAGCTGTGTATGCGCATGACCTGCGTGAACCAGCAACCCTGCGTGTCAACCCTGACTCCACAGCCCGTAATGAACGGGCAAAGCCTGCTTGACCGCTACGCCGTCAGGCACAGGCGACCTCAAACGGTTTGGGATAGAAGAGTGGAGAGACTCTTCTAGGTAGTAAGGCTGAATGACAAGGAAGGGCTAATGGTTTTGGCATGCTTCCTATTTTTGCATGAGTTTACATGTGGCACATCATGTCTGGC